GAGTGTATCTCCAACGAATTAAATAATATTTATGTTGGTCACACCACAAACTCGCTTTCACGACGCTTGACACTACATCTTAATGAAAACTCTAACATTTTTAGGCATTTAAAACAACATGCCTGCCTGCACACACAATTCCGTAAAATACTTGTCGAAAACACAACTATACTTCGACATGAAAACAATAGACAAAAACTAAAAAATACTTGAAGCATTATACATCAAACAGTTAAAACCCAACCTAAACAAAATCAACTATGGAATCTCTACAAATATTCTTAAATGTCTATAATTTCAATAATTGGTTTCCTTATTTCATTCTCCATTTCACTCTCGTGTAGTCATGTGTGACGTCATGAGATGCGGTGCGATTTTCGCTTCTAGCGTCTTATATGCGCGTGTTCATCGTTGCTTAGTGATTCACTATGTAAACAAAACAATGACAGACTATATCATCACTGTCGTGTCCGTAAATTGTTTGATATGTTTGTATTTACATCTTTGATAATGGCTTGAGTAAGCCGAAAGCTTAGATTTTATTAAAAAATAATGGATAAATATTGTGAATTTCTTTTTTCGGTTAATGATAATGTTACCAAACTTATCAGAAGATACGAAAAAATTTTACATAAAATAAATAGACAACACTTGTCTATATTATTTAATGAAACGTGTATAAATGAAAATATGCTGCCTAAATACACACAATTTAAATATATATTAAAAATATATATATATATATATATATATATATATATATATATATGTATATATGTGTATACTCTATTTTATGTCTATATTTAAACGTATATATGTGTATTTATATTTTATGTATATGTATGGCTATATATGTATGTGCATATGTATCTTCATAATTTTATTTTTATCTACGTAAATTTATCTTTTATTATCAATTTATTTTTTTATTTTTTGCATATATTTTTGTATATGTTTTCTTGAAGAATTTTTTTTTAATTATTGTATAATTGTTTTAGAACATTATTCGTAATTTAGGTTGTTGTTTCATTACTTTATTTTTATAATCATTTATTTTTAAATTACACATGTATATTGATGTCGTAAAATAACCTGAATGAATTTCAAATCCATTTATTTGTGAAATTTTTGGTCGCATGAGACGAGATCGATTAATCGACTATGTGAATAACATATAACCATGGGTTTCTAACGTCTCAGCATTCATTATATATATATATATATATATATATATATATATATATATATATATGTGTGTGTGTGTGTGTGTGTGTGTGTGTGTGTGTGTGTGTGTGTGTGTGTGTGGATAAAAGTGTGCGCGTGAGTGCCCTAATTTTATCTAAGAACGTATGAGGCAAATTTTTAGTATGCTTCATTTTGTTCGAAAAACGTTTTGTCTAAAAGATTCTATATGTAATAGAAAATATTGCCATCATGCATTGCATTTACACTTATATTTACACTTACACCTCTGTCTGTCTATGTCAACACTAAAATATATGGGTATTTGACACCTTTGTGGGTCTGATGACATCCGGTGATTTTGCTGGTGCTGTCCCTTCTCTTTTAGAATTCCTCTAACGTCTTCGTAATTTTTCGCCCCATTACTAGTTGCAAAGTTTTAATGTCGTAATCCTTTCCCACCTGCAACTTCCTTTCGTAAGCAGATTTCAGCTTTAAAGAAACTGGCTTGAATCAGCCTCGTCCAAAGAGCCTACTTTTCTCTTACTTCATTTGATGTGTAAGATAATTCAAAGACAATTTTTCCCCACGTTTTTTTCTGCATTTCCTTTGTGATTTTGATCGATAATTTTTACAAAATATCATCGTCTTTTTCATTCTTCATCTCATATGATGTTGAGATAAGCTTGACGAATAAAATGTTTGATCATTGGTTTTCTTCTTCTTAAATGTTCAGTACGGTCGAACTCTGTTTTCATCAATGAATCTGTTTGACCACGGCTCAACTGTATCACTTTGGTTATTTCGACCTTTCTATATGCTTGAGTCAACTGGCTCAGTGAATAATACGAATACTGGCACCGGTTTTCATTTATTTGTCAATTACAATTAAATTACTTGTAAATATTTTTAATATCTTAATATATGATTATATTAAAAATCAATGACTTTTTTCTACGAGGGAATGGCCTTGTTCATAGTTGACGTAAAACAATTTTAGTATGGAAACATCTTTCGAAGTGCTCGGAAAAGCTACATTCCTTGGTTGCACCAGGTCTAACCTTCTCAGCTGGGACCCGCTATGCCATTTACATTGTAGCAAACCGCCCACATTCTCTCCGTATTCCATCGGTGGGATGGAAGGTCCACGAGAAAAGCTTCTTCCCGAGAAGCACTAATCTGTGGAACAGACTCCCAAAAGGATGTTTCACTCATCCTTACAATATTAACCTGTTCAAGTCTAAAGATAACGGTTATCTTCCTCTCCTGTCCATATAAAGTTCTACTTAACGTAAGCCTCAACCTTGAGAGACCCCGTTCATTGTACAGGTTGAAAGTTACTGAGAATTGCCAGTTGCCAAGAGAAATATTTTATTATCAGTCATTTATGTGCCATGCGCGATACACACTTAGGCAATCAAGTTTCTTTCGATACATGACTGACGAGAAAGATTTTTTTCCTGCAGTAGGTTGCCTTTTCTTTCTGTGGTAGACCAGTTTCCATCCAAGGCTAGAGGACCCGTTCTGTCCAGCTATTTCCCATAGCTGGAGGGAGAAGAAGAGGATTCATACCTTTTCTCAATGGTATTATCACGTCAGGGAATATAATGGATTCAACTGGAATTCTAACTCGGCTCTCCGAATCCTCATTCCGTGCCTCTATTCATTACTTTACTGTGTCATTTTATTATAAGCACGGAATATTAAATATATTTTACTTAATATTACGCTATTAAGACGATCGTGAGTCAAATATTGAAATCAAAACCCCAAACTTACATGATCTGTCTGGATTTGCTATCTGTTTATATACGTTCGTTATTCATAGACGAATATTTTGAATCTATGAAAATGCTGTCTAACATGGTCACTTTGTTTTCTTCATTTAATATTAATTATTTTTAATAATTTTTAGCTACCGATTTTTATGAATTTTACGTAACTTAGGATCATCTGCCTTAATTAAACAGTGTTGGATAATCTCAAGCATATGAGTTTTCTATATGGTTTGTACATCATGATGTTATTTCTCTCTAGTTAGGTTTTACATATTTTTTACGGCTCATATATACATTTCAGAGATTAGTTATTTCATTCTAAGTTTTTCACATGAATAATTATCATTATTATTCATTGATTTATTCAAACTGATGTCTAGTAGTTTCGGGGCTTGTAACGTTCGTTTCTTAAAGAAAGAATAAACGTACAACAAAAAAATTCATTAAATTATCGTTTTTATATATATTTTAAAGTGGATATAAATATTGGTTAAGTGTTCGCCATTTAAATGGTATCCGTCTGGGCAGACAGGGAAACATGTCCATCTATGATTCTGTGAAATTTGCAGATTTTTTTTAAGAATAACATAAACAGCAAAATGAAAATTAAATACTACAGCCACAAGATTATGGTAAGATCCTGCAATAGACAAGAGGTTTTAAATATGAAGAGAAGAATTCAAATTCCTCATCGTAGGCATTCACAGAGACAGCACTAAATTTTAGCGATTTTGCTGCTAGATGCGCTGGCTAAATTCTACCAAAATAAGAGGCAGACAAGATAGGAATTTGCAACGATTAATCTAGAACTGGGCCATGTTAATACAGTAACCATTATGGATCGAATTTATTACACTCTCAGTTCCAACTCCAGAGAATCTTTTAACTATCGGACTAAGATAGGCGCCTGTCTGCTTACGTATGACAGTGTTCAAGGTTCAGTTTGCGAATGGCGTTCACAGAAATATTTTATCCTCAAGTAAGTTTTCCAGACCACATACCAATATGTTTTGGTTGATTTCAAATCGAAATTTCTTCGAGTTATAAATAACTGCTTGCTGTTTCATAAATTGTCTCAGATTTCGAAAGAAAATAGATGAGTACACGACTTTTTGCGCCCGTGATCGATATTCGGATTTCCAATCAGTCGATAACCCAATGTTCCAATCCCATGTGCTTGAGTTTGACGCCTGTACAGAAAAGACGTGGAGAAAAAAAATAACGACGACAAAAGTGACAGCTGTACGGCAGCATGTGTGCCATCCAATAGAGACAGACTTCTTCAAGGATTATGTCTCATGCGTTTTCATTGTCCGTTTTTTTCCCCTTTGTTTTCTACCTGCGAGCTTATGGAAGTTATATTCAGTGTTCAGGCTGGAAAGCTCTCAAAGAGTTTGAGAGAAGAGAGAGACAGAACGATTATATTATGAAGGAAAGTGAATATTTCCTTCAAGACATAAAAAGGAAAACAAAAACATTGTGGAAAAACGAAAAAGTGCATATAAAACCCGCGCACACATCTATCTATCTAGATAGATAGATAGATAGCTACAAAATACATTATAAAGATGATTATTCTTTAAAGTAGTTAATGCAGTATTTTGTAACTGGATGAAATTAATATGTAGACAACACTATGATACTTCTTGATAGATAGATAGATAGATAGATAGATAGATAGATAGATAGATAGATAGATAGATAGATAGATAGATAGATAGATACTTTGTCGGTGTATGAAGAACTGTACACATAAAACTATTCAAATATGTCTATGAAATCAATGTGAATGAAGACATGATTTGTGAATGGTGAAAAATATGTGTGTATCATGCAATATGTATGTGGCTCTATGAGGTTATATGTGATTACATGCACGCGCACAACACATACATGTGTGCAAACACACACACATACATACATACATACATACATATATATATATATATATATATATATATATATATATATATATATATATATATATATATATATATATATATAAAGACATGATAAATAGAAAGGTAAATAAGAAGTGCGATGCCAACCCTGGTAACTGATGTTAACACTGACTGGTGATGGTCTGTTTCATTAGTGAAAGTAATCCCTAGGTTATATATTATATATATATATATATATATATATATATATATATATATAGAGAGAGAGAGAGAGAGAGAGATAGATAGATAGATAGATAGATAGATAGATAGATAGGGTTATTTTAATATATAAGGGGTACATGAAATTAAAAAGCACTGCTGGTATTAATTCTGATTCTGAAAGTTATGTTACGATGAATTAGTTTGCTAATCAAAAGTCTAAGATAGGCATTCATTTGTTGGTACAGATAAGCATGCACACAGACGCGTTTGTGTGCGCGAGAACGGATCGACGAAAAGTAAGTGATAAAAAGTAAGTCTTAAAAAGGTACGTATACATGCACATAAAATACCCACTGAAAAAATGCATGAGGAAATCGGCAGTCAATTGCTGATACCTCCCGACGAGTGGAACAAACGATAGCAAAACTGTCTAGGAATATAGCATTAATTTTAATACTATATATATATATATATATATATATATATATATATATATATATATATATATATATATATATATATATACAATAGTATAGTATATATATATATATATATATACAATAGTATAGTATATATATATATATACAATAGTATAGTATATATATCTATAGTATATATATATATATATATATATATATATATATATATATATATATATATATATATATATATATATATATATATATACAATAGTATAGTGTGGGAAACATCTATCATTTTCTTGGATTCCTATGCATACTTGATATATTTGATCTTATGAATATATATATATATATATATATATATATATATATATATATATATATATATAAGAAAAGTGTATATATATATATATATATATATATATATATATATATAATTATTTATATATTATATGCATATGGTACATATTAGAAAGCGCTCAATATTAGAGAGAGCTGATATATTTGGTTGGGTTGATGTGAGTTTGTAACACTGGGTTTTTGACGATCGCAAAGCGTGAAACCCAGGGTCAATCACATCAATCTATATATATATATATATATATATATATATATATATATATATATATATATATATATATATATATGTATATATATATATATATATAAACAGAGAGAGAGAGAGACGAGAGGAGAGAGAGGGAGATATGTTTTTCTTGTTTATTTCTTTTATTTATTTTTTTAAAATAAATCTTTTTACTTTCCTTGTAGAAACTTGTATATCTAACGAAACAGCACACGCGTAATATCAAGAATAATTGTGGCTTTTCTATAAACGTTTCGAAGCTCATCTTTTCGTACATTTTCAAAAGATTTAATTCTACATCGTAAAAAATGCAATTCACATATGAAACTACGTACAGAAAGAAAAATATTACTCACTGTGACAAATAAGTACATCCTGATAATTTTCACTTTCCTATGTTACTTAAGAATTTATAAACGAATATTATAAACGAACTTTTGCCAGATTTGATCTAGAAACGCCTACATCAGTGAAATCGTTGTCAAGACTACGTTATTTTTCTTTAATCCTTTAACTCCAAGTAAGGCGATAATGCCACTAAGAAAAGGAACTTATTAAGAGCGAAAATCAATCAGAAGTATCTAAGGGGGAAGAAACGACAATAAAAGTACTAGTTTCAGAAAAACTGAAGAAGGCGATTGGCGTTCCATTTATACCTTTGAATATCATAGGAAGCTGAAAGGATTTGGAAGAGATCTCCACAGGCCAGCTTCTCGGGGAAAGACATTATCAGAATAGAACTTTCTGTTATATCTACGTATTTGAACAGTAAACAATAAGACCTCATTTTCAACCGTGACGTACGTTTAAATTGATGCGGGCGAGCTAGAAAGAAGACCAATATTTACTTTGCACAATGCAAAAATGTGGCACGAGGTCAAAGGTTGGGAGAAGAATGCTTTTCTTCCATCTATCTTATCTTTAACCTAGCTAGTCTCGATTACTGACCCAAACATACCATAATATTCCTTACATCAAAACAACCCAGTCATACATGCCCTTCTTACTAAAGGCACCTCAAAATCTCTATGTAGTTCTTGCAATATGTGTGGAGGCCAGAATAAACAACAGCATTTAAAAATTAAACACCTATGTATATTTACGGTGAATACAATTTACCAAAGAAGGGATCTCATTTGAACAATTATCAATTTATCGAAATAGCAGTGGGAAGCGACATCATGGCGGCGAGAACGATATTGACGGGGCGTGTTACGATGCTCGTATGTTTTGTCCAGGCTCGAACCCTGAACTTCAGTTTTGCCAATACGAATTAGGAATCTGTATGTTCAAACAATATTTCTTACGTAAAATATTTTTTTATTAAATTTACTTCTCTATTCAAACATGAAAACTTAAATGCAAATAAATGTATGATAAATTGACTGAGGTGAAATATCAGAACAAAATATGATAATATATAACCTACTGAATGCTTACGATTTATTCTGTTGTCAAGTATTTCGCTCTGTGTGAACATCATCAGAGCAACTGAAAAATACATTAAGACAAATTATTATAGTAACTACGCTACTTGTAAAACGTTGTGGATATTTTCAAAACAAATAATAATTAATAAATTTAAAAAAAAATAACTGTTATCAAATCAGTCTCAATTGCAATTGGCAAAATTGTAAATTAAAATTTAATTATGGTTATTTAATATATGGAAATAAAAAGGATATAGGGAAAAATATAAAACAGTTATATCCAAAAAAATGAGTACATGCAATTTAAATTATAATGTATGATAGCTGATAAGGTAAAATCGATGTAATTAAAATTTGCATTAAAATTTTTAACCATTATATGTTTTAGAACTATTTTCCATAAGGATTACATTACAGAGAAAATGGGCTGCTATATCAACCTATTAATTTTCGAATGGAATCGTGATGTCATAGATGAAAAAGGGGGTAGTTTTTGCTGAATCAACCTGTTTTGAAAATCGAACGAATGTTTTGGATATTGTTTATGGGAGGATAATAAATTTAATTTCTCCAAGATTTTTATTAGCTTTTTGGCGATCCTAGATATGTTTTCGCAAACTTCGTTGTGTTTCACCCAATATTAATTTGATTATATTTATATGTTCAGATATACGAGACGTTGCTGAAAGGACACAGACAAAACTTTTATTTTATGGAATCACTTTTCGGTTGTTTCAACAATATATATAAATATATGTATATATGGATAACTGGCATCCATTAGACATGGAACGTGGGACTAGAACAATCTACCACCAGTGAGCGAAATAATGGGTTCAGTTCGATATTCCAACAATCTGAAGAAGGCAGGAGCGTACAACGGCCGAAACGTTGTAATACATATGGCGACAAAGATGAGGACAATAGTCCGAATAATGTAAAAATGTACATAATACCTCATCTCAGAAATATAGTCTGATACGTATCAAAAATACTTTTACAAGCATTGGGGTCGGTTTCCTCACATCACAACAAGGAAAATTGTCCATATCAACATAACTGAGGATCACAACAACAGATCCGCTCGTGAGTGATCAGAGGGTAAAAGACCCTGCACACATTGCAAATGATATGGATAAAGGTTCTGCTCTTGAAGTACCCGACATGCCGTACTATGAGATGTACATGTTAGCGTCACTTGACGTGGGCTGATAACTCGATTGCCTCCATCTGTCTGTAGAATGCGTACTTCGTAGTCAGGGGTACGAACAGATTTCGGTTTTCCAAGATCCATAGTGTGTGGGGCCACAGGTCCTGTCTCGGCAACGCGTCTATAAAATGCAGAGGTTGGATGACCCGGATACCTTCGGTCTAGTACCTCAAACTGATACAGCCGTTCACCCTTGCGTTCATTACCATTCGCGTGTCGATATGTAAAATTCGACACTCTCGTCTCACGATATGAATACCCGGTCATTGTTAAAGGGAACACCTCTCAGTTAACACACTACTACTCAGGTCATTTGTTATATATATTGTTGAAACTTGACTAATGCATGGAATAATAATGCAACACAAAATGTACTTAGAACAAAATGTATTGAAACAAGAAAGTGTACACAATATTTACATATAGTCTTTTGTATATTCCTGGTAAGACCGTTCCTGGAGAATGTGTTGACTGAGTCGCAGTCGGGCAGAGTCTCTGGTTGAATCTCTTGATTCCTCCATCTCTTCCCGGTACCAACCATATTTATATGGTCGGTATCCACTATGCAAATTAGGTGGATCCTACCACAAATATATATATATATATATATGTGTGTGTGTGTGTGTGTGTGTGTGTGTGTGTGTGTGTGTGTGTGTGTTAGAGAGAGAGAGAGAGAGAGAGAGTGCGTGTTGGTGTCTGGGCGCACGCGCACGTGTGTGTGTATGTTTACTGTTCCATTTGTTTTGTCTGATGGTAGGGTCCAGAGAGGCGCGAATCTATAATACCATGAACCGTACCACCATGCATGTGCCAAAAATGATAAAGAAATATCAGGATTTAAATTTGGTTTGGTAGGCGGTATCTGCGTACATCTTAGAAAATATCAGAAATATATCAGTGATAATCAACACCGGGTTTCGAACGAGTCGTGATTGAGTGTCTAATGGATGTGAAATTCCACTTCTTAAATTGTCAATTTGATTTATCTTATCACATTTCTACCGTGAATATCTGATGGAAAAATTCCCACCAAATGTCTGCAGAACAGGGTTCGACGACGAATGCTTAACGATTGTGACTACAGACAATTGGTTAAAATTGTCTGTGCCAACAGACAATAGACTCTGGCCCAAATCACACACACTGAACCAAGTACCAGTCGGATATCCAACAAACCAATTCTGTGTCCTTTAAATTCTATGGATACCGACAAAGCTACATCTGTTAACGGCACGATATAGGATGCTGCATCCATCATCTCACCTGCACTATTTGGATCTTGGTGGATTGGCAACATGTTTCGGGATCAAATGAATCAAGTTTCTAGTGGATTGGCAACATATTTCTAACATTCAGTGCATTAATTCAGAAGAGAGCTCAATATCAATAGTAGAGGAATAATTATATATTATAGATATTTACATTCGGGCAAAAACAATTACTCAATTGTTTTTGTGTGTATGCAAAATCTATTTTTATATATATATATATATATATATATATATATATATATATATATATATATATATGTATTATATATTATATATATATATATATATATATCACGCCGCTGGAAGTCGTCAGTCCATATGTCTAACAAAAAGATTTACTGTGAAACAGTCTGTCGCCTCTGGACGTTAATTGAAATGTTAACTTTAATATTTACATACAACCTATGCCTGATATTGAGCAGTTTAACAAATAAATATAGCATGTCTTGAAACTATATTTTGTAATTTAATGCATATATATATATATATATATATATATATATATATATATATGTGTGTGTGTGTGTGTGTGTGTGTGTGTGTGTGTGTGTGTGTGTGTGTGTGTGTTCTGATATGTAAAAATAAGAAAGAATACATTAGGTAAATAATCCGGAGTTCTTTAGTATGTTGGGTTTTATTTAAAAAAAAACTGTGCTTCATACAGAAGTACAGCTTAAATTTTAATTATTTAAAAAAAATGATTCCTTCGCTACATAAGAGTTATCAAGTTTCAAAAATGAGTGCCGAAAACGTTAATGTAATTATTAAATTCAAATTCAGTTAAAGTATCAAGACGTTGTTTTCATCATCAAAATTTAGGAATAACCAGTCTTGAAATATACGCATCTTTATAAGCATGTTCATTCGCAAAATTAATTACTATGGAAACAGCTGAGGCGACTATTTTGATAAGGGGCCTAAGAGTTATTTCTTATCCACATATCAGCCACCTTCGGAAAGAGGTCAAGCCGAGGCAGGGTAAGAAATGGGTATTCATTTCATAGCGAATGATGGCATTCATGTGTGCACATCGTCTGGTCAGTCACAGCGAATTATATCTTTTAGCACTATAATATGTCGTTAAGTGTTTAGTGAATTGTATTTTATTTTATTTATTTTTTTTATCCTTTTATTTTCTATTTTTATTTTTTCTAAAGGGCTGTTTCGTACTTAAACGCGTCGCACTGAACTACAATTTGTTTTTTGACGACTTCATAAAGCGTCTTTCTATCTTATGACTGGGTTAAGTTTTTAAACCTTGTATTAGACTATGCAATTTCATATTTTTATGCTAATTATTTAATGCGAAAATGTGTTGATGTCGGCAGAAAACCGTTAACTCATGTCTATGGTTTAATAAATTGTCATTATTAGAAACTTAATAATGTGTAGTTTTTCATGTAGGCATAAAGGGCATGGGTCATCCCAGTTATTACAAGTTCTTGTTCTATTTATTATTTTCCGTTTTACTTTTGGTGTTTTATTCATTTCTTTTAAATGCCAAAAATATTTGGATAGAGATGTCTGATTTCTATTTCTAATATTATTGAAGGAGCTTTTGTGTTGTCTCCATCTAATTTTAAATTCATTCTTCGTTGAACCAATGTATATCCTATGAGTTTCAGGACTCTTAATCGATGAGATAGTGCATTGGTATACCACAGATTTTGTGTGGTATTTATTTTCCACAGGGCAGTCTTCAGGGTTTCTACAATCACATAATTTTTCATTATTTTTTTTAAAATAAAAGGATAAAATAAATAAATAAATATAATAAAATAAAAATTTTCGCCTCTCGTTTTTGAAACTTGATAACTCTTATGTAGCGAAGGAATCATTTTTTTTAATAATTATAATATATATATATATAGAGAGAGAAAGAGAGATAGATAGATAGGGAGAGAGAGAGAGAAAATAGGAATATGACAATTGAAAACGCAATAAATGGAAATTATATGTGAATAGCTATACTGGAAGATTTCTGTGAAGTCGCACAGTATGAAATCTAAATAAGTTCGATAAAATATGGAATTGTATCGTGTTTTAGAGATATTTAATTATAACAAACATATTTGAATTTTATTTTATATATATATATATATATATATATATATATATATATATATATATATATATATATATATAGTGAAAAATAACAATCGCAAGAAATGTTTAACCATAGCATCTATCTAGTCACATGAAATGACGCACTTTATACAAAATTAATAAAACGATTGTAAAATGTTAAATAACGAATTTATTTAGTTGCAATAATTATCAGCTTGATGAATTAATGTCTTCTAACGTATCTCTAAAGTTTTGAAGCCATCTTTAAAAATATTCGCTTCCTTTGATTTGATAAACTTTTCAAAACTTCGATTACATCTTCCGTATTGAAGGACGTTCTATTCTGTAAGAAAAAGCTCAAATGGTTGAAATAAGTGACAGTCAGTAGGATAGAGATCAGGTGATTATGGAGGATGAGGCAAAATCTTATTATTCAGGTTATGCAGCTTTTGGACAGTTGACTGATAAGCGAGCGGCCGTCCGTAGTCGGGCAGCAAGATTGGACCAATGCCTATACAACAGTCTAAGTTGTATCATATATTTTCTTTTTTCGTTTTTTCATGCATACACCAAGTCTCTCCACAGTACGGGGTAGCTGTTATTGTTTAACCTTTAGATAAGAATGAATAATAAATAACCCCTTTGAAAGGCCACCATATATTGCCCTTTAATTTTTTTTAGGTAGTAGTGTGGTTTTTGTGTAGTGTTTTGGTGATCATTTCTATCTAACATCTGGCTTACTCTCTGACACTTGTCAAAGAGTATCCATTTTTCATCGCATGCAAAAGTCCGATGCAAAAATAGTTATTTTTCCTATTTTTTTTATGTACTCATATATTGAGATTGCTCAACAGTAATTTATTGCAAACATTTTTGGTTTGCTTATGCGTAAAAAATTATTGGAATAAAAATTATATGAAAAGAAGTATCAGGAATAAGTCAAGATTTCTTTTATATATTAAGGAGGTTACTTGGTTAGATGAACGGATCAACAACCAACCAAAATGCATCATTTCATGTATAACAGACAAATATCTACCTACCTATCTATCTATCATCTATCCTATTTATTAATATCTTTTTATCTATTTATCTATCTGTTTTAGTCTGCCCTCTCCCCCTCTTACTGTCTCTCTCTATTTATCTTTTAATATCTGTTTTAGTCTGCCCTCTTCTGTTTTAGTCTGCCTCTCCTTTTATTTAGCTCTCTTACTGTCTCTCTGTTTTAGTCTCTCCCCTCTCTGTCTTCTGTTTTATTTATTTATCTCTTACTGTCTCTCTGTTTTAGTCTTCCCTCTCCCTTTTATTTATCTCTCTTACTGTCTATCTGTTTTAGTCTTCCCTCTCCCTTTTATTTATCTCTCTTACTGTCTCTCTGTTTTAGTCTTCCCTCTCCCTTTTATTTATCTCTCTTACTGTCTATCTGTTTTAGTCTTCCCTCTCCCTTTTATTTATCTCTCTCTCTGTTTTACTGTCTCTCTCTCTCCTTTTTTTAGTCTGTTTTAGTCCCTCTCCCTTTTATTTATCTCTCTTACTGTCTATCTGTTTTAGTCTTCCTCTCCTTTTATTTATCTCTTTACTGTCTATCTGTTTTAGTCTTCCCTCCCTTTTATTTATCTCTCTTACTTCATCTGTTTTAGTCTCCCCTTTTATTTATCTCTCTTACTGTCTATCTGTTTTAGTCTTCCCTCTCCTTTTATTTATCTCTCTTACTGTCTCTCTGTTTTTAGTCTTCCTCTCCTTTTATTTATCTCTCTTACTGTCTATCTGTTTTAGTCTTCCCTCCCGTTTTATTTATCTCTTACTGTCTATCTGTTTTAGTCTTCCCTACTGTCATCTGTTTTATTTATCTCTCTTACTGTCTCTCTGTTTTAGTCTTCCTCTCCTTTTTTATTTATCTCTCTTACTGTCTCTCTGTTTTAGTCTTCCTCTCCCTTTTATTTATCTCTTACTGTTCATATCTGTTTTAGTCTTCCTCTCCTTTTATTTATCTCTCTGTTACTGTCTATCTGTTTTAGTCTTTTATTTATTCCTTACTGTCTATCTGTTTTAGTCTTCCCTCTCCCTTTTATTTCTCTCTTACTGTCTCTCTCTGTTTTAGTCTTCCCTCTCCCTTTATTTATCTCTTACTGTCTATCTGTTTTAGTCTTCCTCTCCTTTTTATTTATCTCTCTTACTGTCTATCTGTTTTAGTCTTCCCTCTCCCTTTTATTTATCTCTTCTTACTGTCTCTCTGTTTTAGTTTCCTCTCCTTTTATTTATCTCTCTTACTGTCTCTGTTTTTAGTCTTCCTCTCCCTTTTATTTATCTCTCTTATCTGTTTTAGTCTATCTGTTTTAGTCTTACTGTCTCCCTGTTTATTTATCTCTTACTGTCTATCTGTTTTAGTCTTCCCTCTCCCTTTTATTTATCTCTTACTGTCTATCTGTTTTAGTCTTCTTCCTCTCCCTTTATTTATCTCTCTTACTGTCTATCTGTTTTAGTCTTCTCCCTTTTATTTATCTCTCTTTTCTCTGTTTTAGTCTTCCTCTCCCTTTATTTATCTCTCTTACTGTCTCTCTGTTTTAGTCTTCCTCTCCCTTTTATTTATCTCTCTGTCTATCTGTTTTGTCTATCTGTTTTAGTCTTCCTCTCCTTTTTATTTATCTCTTACTGTCTCTCTGTTTTAGTCTTCCTCTCTCCCTTTTATTTATCTCTTACTGTCTATCTGTTTTAGTCTTCCCTCTCCCATCCCTTTTATTTATCTCTCTTACTGTCTATCTGTTTTAGTCTTCCCTCCCTTTATTTATCTCTCTTACTGTCTATCTGTTTTAGTCTTCCTCTCCCTTTTTATTTATCTCTCTTACTGTCTCTCTGTTTTAGTCTTTCCTCTACCCTGTTTTATTTATCTCTATTTACTCTCTATCTGTTTTAGTCTTCCCTCTCCCTTTTATTTATCTCTCTTTTTTATCTGTTTTTATTCCTCTCCTCTCTTTACTGTCTATCTGTTTTAGTCTTCCCCCCTCTCCTTTTTATTTATCCTTTTTATTTATCTCTTACTCGTTCATCTGTTTTAGTCTCCCTCTCCCTTTTATTTATCTCTCTTACTGTCTATCTGTTTTAGTCTTCCCTCCTTTATTTTTATTTATCTCTGTTTTACTGTCTCTCCTTTTATTTATCTCTTTACTGTCTTCTGTTTTAGTCTCTCCCTTTTATTTATCTCTTTACTGTCTATCTGTTTTAGTCTTCCTCTCCTTTTATTTATCTCTCTTACTGTCTATCTGTTTTAGTCTTCCTCTCCCTTTTATTTATCTCTCTTACTGTCTATCTGTTTTAGTCTTCCCTCCCTTTATTTATTTATCTGTTTTAGTCTTCCCTCTCCCTTTTATTTATCTCTCTTACTGTCTATCTGTTTTAGTCTTCCCTCTCCCTTTTATTTATCTCTCTTACTGTCTATCTGTTTTAGTCTTCCCTCTCCCTTTTATTTATCTCTCTTACTGTCTCTCTGTTTTAGTCTTCCTCTCCCTTTATTTATCTCTCTTACTGTCATCTGTTTTAGTCTCCTCCTCCTCCCTTTATCTTTTTAGTCTCTCTCTTTATTTATTGTCTATCTGTTTTAGTCTTCCCTCCCTTTTATTTATCTCTCTTACTGTCTATCTGTTTTAGTCTTCCCTCTCCCTTTTATTTATCTCTCTTACTGTCTATCTGTTTTAGTCTTCCCTCTCCCTTTTATTTATTTCTTTCTCTGTTTTAGTCTTCCCTCTCTTTATTTAGTCTTCCTCTGTTTTAGTCTTCCTCTCCCCTTTTTATCTGTTTCTCTCCCTTTTAGCTGTCTCTATTTTTTAGTCTTTATTTTTTCCTCTCCCTTTATTTATCTCTCTTTTACTGTCTCATCTGTTTTAGTCTTCCTCTCCCTTTATTTATCTCTTACTGTCTATCTGTTTTAGTCTTCCTCTCCCTTTTATTTATCTCTCTTACTGTTCATCTGTTTTAGTCTTCCCTCTCCTTTTTTATTTATCTCTTACTGTCTATCTGTTTTAGTCTTCCTCTCCCTTTTATTTATCTCTCTTACTGTCTATCTGTTTTAGTCTTCCCTCTCCCTTTTATTTATATCTCTCTTACTGTCTCTCTGTTTTAGTCTTCTCCCTCTCCTTTTATTTATCTCTTACTGTCTATCTGTTTTAGTCTTCCCTCTCCTTTATTTATCTCTCTTACTGTCTATCTGTTTTAGTCCTCTCCCTTTTTATTTATCTCTTACTGTCTATCTGTTTTAGTCTTCCTCTTTTATTTATCTCTCTTACTGTCCATCTGTTTTAGTCTTCCCTCTCCCTTTTATTTATCTCTCTTACTGTCTATCTGTTTTAGTCTTCCCTCCTTTTATTTATCTCTCTTACTGTCTATCTGTTTTAGTCTTCCTCTTTACTTTTATTTATCTCTTACTGTCTATCTGTTTTAGTCTTCCCTCCCTTTTTTTATCTCTCTTACTGTCTATCTGTTTTAGTCTTCCTCTCCTTTTATTTATCTCTCTTACTGTCTCTCTGTTTTAGTCTTCCCTCTCCCTTTTTTTATCTCTACTACTGTCTATCTGTTTTAGTCTTCCTCTCCCCCTTTTATTTATCTCTCTTACTGTCTATATCTGTTTTAGTCTTCCTCTCCTTTTTTTATTTCTCTTACTGTCTATCTGTTTTAGTCTTCCTCTCCTTTTTATTTATCTCTTACTGTCTATCTGTTTTTAGTCTTCCTCCCCTTTTTATTTATCTCTTACTGTCTCTCTGTTTTAGTCTTCCCTCCTTTTATTTTTCTCTCTTACTGTCTATCTGTTTTAGTCTTCCTCTCCTTTTTATTTATCTCTCTTACTGCCTATCTGTTTTAGTCTTCCCTCTCCCTTTTATTTATCTCTCTTACTGTCTATCTGTTTTAGTCTTCTCCCTTTTATTTATCTCTCTTACTGTCTATCTGTTTTGAGTCTCCTCTCCCTTTTATTTATCTCTCTTACTGTCTATCTGTTTTAGTCTCTCTCTCCTTTTTATTTATCCTCTACTTCATCTGTTTTAGTCTCTCCTTTATTTATCTGTCTTATCTCTGTTTTAGTCTTCCTCTCCCTTTTATTTATCTCTCTTACTGTCTCTATCTGTTTTATCTTCCTCTCCCTTTTATTTATCTCTCTTACTGTCTATCTGTTTTAGTCTTCCCCCTTTTATTTATCTCTCTTACTCTCATTTCTTTTTATTCCTCTCTATTTATTTTCCTCTTTATTTACTGTCTCTATCTGTTTTATCTGTTTTCCCTCTCCCTCTTACTTTCTCTGTTTTATCTCTCCTTTTATTTACTGTACTGTCTATCTGTTTTAGTCTTCCTCTCCCTTTTATTTCTCTCTCTTACTGTCTATCTGTTTTAGTCTTCCTCTTTTTTTTTTTTATCTCTTTCCTATCTGTTTTAGTCTTCCCTCCCTTTATTTATCTCTCTTTACTCTCTGTTTTAGTCTTCCCTCTCCCTTTTATTTATCTCTCTTACTGCCCTCTGTTTTAGTCTTCCCCCTTTTTATTTATTTTACTGTCTATCTGTTTTTTCTCCCTTTTATTTCATCGGTTTCAGTCTTCCTCTCCCTTTATTTATTTGTCTATCTGTTTTCTCCCCTTTTATTTATCTCTCTTACTGTCTATCTGTTTTAGTCTTCCCTCTCCTTTTATCTGTTTTATCTCTTTACTGTCTATCTGTTTTAGTCTTCCTCCTCCCTTTTGTTTTATCTCTCCTTTTATTTGTCTCTCTGTTTTGTTCTTCCCTCCTCCTTTTTTTTATCTCTCTTGTGTCTCTCTGTTTTTAGTCTTCCTCTCCTTTTATTTATCTCTTACTGTCTATCTGTTTTAGTCTTCCCTCTCCTTTTATTTATCTCTCTTACTGTCTCTCTGTTTTAGTCTTCCCTCTCCTTTTTTTTTTCTCTCTTACTGTCTATCTGTTTTAGTCTTCCCTCTCTTTTATTTATCTCTCTTTGTCTATCTGTTTTAGTCTTCTCTCCCTTTTATTTATCTCTCTTACTGTCTATCTGTTTTAGTCTTCCCTCTCCCTTTATTTATCTCTCTTACTATACTATCTATTTTAGTCTTCCTTCTCCTTTTATTTATCTCTTACTGTCTATCTGTTTTAGTCTTCCTCTCCTTTTATTTATCTCTCTTACTGTCTCTCTGTTTTAGTCTTCTCCCCCTTTATTTATCTCTCTTACTGTCTATCTGTTTTAGTCTTCCCTCTCCGTTTTATTTATCTCTTACTGTCTATCTGTTCTTTTAGTCTTCCCTCTCCTTTTATTTATCTCTTACTGTCTATCTGTTTTAGTCTTCCTCTCCCTTTATTTATCTCTCTTACTGTCTCTCTGTTTTAGTCTTCCTCTCCCCTTTTTATTTTATCTCTCTACTGTCATCTGTTTTAGTCTTCCCTCTCCTTTTATTTATTATCTGTCTCTCTGTTCTATCTGTTTTTAGTACTGTCCCTGTTTTAGTCTCCCTTTTTTTATCTCTCTTACTGTCTCTCTGTTTTAGTCTTCCCCCCCCTTTTATTTATCTCTTACTGTCTCTCTTTTTAGTCTGTCTTCTCCCTTTTATTTATCTTTCTCTTACTGTCTATCTGTTTTAGTCTTCCCCTTCCTTTTTTTTGTCTCTTACCGTCTATGTTTTAATCTTCCCTCTCCCTTTTATTTATCTCTTACTGTCTATCTTTTTTAGCACCTCTCCCTTTTATTTTATCTCTCTTACTGTCTATCTGTTTTAGGTCTTCCCTCTCCCCTTTTATTTATCTCTCTTACAGTTTCTCTATTTAGTCTTCCCTCTCCTTTTATTTATCTCTCTTGTCTCTCTGTTTTAGTCTTCCCTCCTTTTTTATTTATCTCTCTTACTGTCTCTGTTTTTAGTCTTCCCTCTGTTTATTTATCCTCTTACTGTCCTATCTGTTTTAGTCTTCCCTCTCCGTTTTGTTATCTCTCTTTCATCTATCTGTTTTAGTCTTCCCTCTCCTTTTATTTATCTCTCTTACTGTCTCTCTGTTTTAGTCTTCCTCCTTTATTTATCTCTCTCTTACTGTATCTGTTTTAGTCTTCCCTCTCCTTTTATTTATCTCTCTTTACTGTCTATCTGTTTAGTCTTCCTCCCCTTTTATTTATCTCTCTTACTGTCTCTCTGTTTTAGTCTTCCCTCTCCTTTTTTATTTATCTCTTTACTGTCTCTCTTTTAGTCTTCCCTCCCTTTTGTTATATCTCTCTTACTGTCTCTGTTTTAGTCTTCCCCTCCCTTTTATTTTTCTCTTACTGTCTACTGGGTTCCATCTCCTTTTATTTATCTCCTCTGTATCTGTTTAGTCTTCCCTCTCCTTTTATTTATCTCTCTTACTGTCTCTCTGTTTAGTCTTCCTCTCCTTTTATTCCATCTCTTTACTGTCTCTCTGTTTGGTCTTCCCTCTGCCTTTTTTTCTCTCTCTTTGTCTATCTGTTTAGTCTTCCTTCCTTTTATTTATCTCTCTTACTGTCTATATTTTAGTCTTCCCTCTCCTTTTATTTGTCTCTCTCTTACTGTCTCTCTCTCTGTTTTAGTCTTCCCTCTCCCTTTTATTTCTCTACTGTCTCTCTGTTTAGTCTTCCCTCTCCCCTTTATTTATCTCTCTTACTGTCTCTCTGTTTTAGTCTTCCCTCTCCCTTTTGTCTTTCTCTTACTGTCTCTCTATTTTAGTCTTCCTCTCCCTTTTTATTTATCTCTCTATCTTTTTTGTCTTCCTCTCTGTTTTGGTCTCTCTTCACTGTCTCTCTATTTTACAGTCTTCCCTCTGATTTATCTCTCTTACTGTCTCTCTGTTTTAGTCTTTTCCTCTCCCTTTTTTTATCTCTCTTGCATGTCTATCTGTTTTGGTCCCCCTCCCTTTTATTTATCTCTCTTACTGTCTGCTCTGTTTTTTAGTCTTCCCTCTCCCTTTTATTTATCTCTCTCTACTGTCTCTCTGTTTTAGTCTTCCCTCCCCTTTTTATTTATCTCTCTTACTGTCTGTCTGTTTTAGTCTTCCTCTCCCTTTTTATTTATCTCTTTACTGTCTAATTGTTTTATATCTTCCTCTCCCTTTATTTATCTCTTACTGTCTATCTGTTTTAGCTCCTCTCTCCCTTTTATTTACTTCTCTTACTGTCTCTCTGTTTAGTCTTCCCTCTCCTTTTATTTATCTCTCTTACTGTTGGTTTAGTCTGCCCTCTTTTGTCTCTCTCTTTATCTTCACTATCTGTTTTAGTCTTCCCTCTCCCTTTTATTTATCTCTCTTACTGTCTCTATCTGTTTTGGTCTTCCCTCTCCCTTTTATTTTATCTCTCTTACTGTCTATCTGTTTAGTCTTCCTCTCCCTTTTATTTATCTCTCTTACTGTCTCTCTGTTTTAGTCTTCCCTCTCCCTTTTATTTATCTCTCTCTTGTCTCTCTGTTTTAGTCTCTCTGCCTTTTTTTTTTATCTTCCCTATCTGTTTTATTTATCTCTTTTATCTGTCTCTCTATCTATTTTAGTCTTCTCTCCCTTTTATTTATCTCTCTTACTGTCTCTGTCTCTCTGTTTAGTCTTCCCTCTCCCTTTTTTATCTCTCTTACTGTCTATCTGTTTTTAGTCTTCCCTCTCCCTTTTTTTATTTATCTCTTACTGTCTCTGTTTTAATCTTCCCTCCCCTTTTTATTTATCTCTCTCTTACTGTCTATCTGTTTTAGTCTTCCCTCTCCCTTTTTTGTCCTCTCTTCTGTCTGTCTGTTTTGTCTTCCCTCTCCCTTTTATTTATCTCTCTTACTGTCTATCTGTTTTAGTCTTCCCTCTCCCTTTTATTTATCTCTCTTACTGTCTCTCTGTTTTAGTCTTCCCTCTCCCTTTTATTTATCTCTCTTACTGTCTATCTGTTTTCTCTTCCCTGTCTCTTCATCTGTTTTAGTCTTCCCTCTCCCTTTTATTTATCTCTCTTACTGTCTATCTGTTTTAGTCTTCCCTCTCCCTTTACTATCTGTTTTAGTCTGCCCTCTTTTATCTCTCTCTTACTGTCTATCTGTTTTAGTCTTCCCTCTCCCTTTTATTTATCTCTCTTACTGTCTCTCTGTTTTAGTCTTCCCTCTCCCTTTTATTTATCTCTCTTACTGTCTCTCTGTTTTAGTCTGCCCTCTCCCTTTTATTTATCTCTCTTACTGTCTATCTGTTTTAGTCTTCCCTCTCCCTTTTTTTTATCTCTCTTACTGTCTATCTGTTTTAGTCTTCCCTCTCCCTTTTATTTATCTCTCTTACTGTCTATCTGTTTTAGTCTTCCCTCTCCCTTTTATTTATCTCTCTTACTGTCTCTCTGTTTTAGTCTTCCCTCTCCCTTTTATTTATCTCTCTTACTGTCTATCTGTTTTAGTCTTCCCTCTCCCTTTTATTTATCTCTCTTACTGTCTCTCTGTTTTAGTCTTCCCTCTCCCTTTTATTTATCTCTCTTACTGTCTCTCTGTTTTAGTCTTCCCTCTCCCTTTTATTTATCTCTCTTACTGTCTATCTGTTTTAGTCTTCCCTCTCCCTTTTATTTATCTCTCTTACTGTCTCTCTGTTTTAGTCTTCCCTCTCCTTTATTTATCTCTTTACTGTCTATCTGTTTTAGTCTTCCCTCTCCCTTTTATTTATCTCTCTTACTGTCTATCTGTTTTAGTCTTCCCTCTTTTTTTTATCTCTCCTTACTGTCTATCTGTTTTAGTCTTCCTCTCCCTTTTATTTATCTCTCTTACTGTCTCTCTATTTTAGTCTTCCCTCTCCCTTTATTTTCTCTCTTAATGTCTCTCTCTTTTAGTCTTCCCTCTCCCTTATTTTATTTCTTCTCTCTTATCTGTCTATCTGTTTTTAGTCTCTCCCTCTCCTTTTTATTTATGCCCTCTCTTTTATTTACTGTCTCTCTGTTTTAGTCTTCCCTCTCCCTTTTTATTTATCTCTCTCTTACTGTCTATCTGTTTTAGTCTTCCCTCTCCCTTTATTTATCTCTCTTCTGTCTCATCTGTTTAGTCTTCCCTCTCCCTTTTATTTATCTCTCTTACTGTCTATCTGTTTTTTGAGTCTTTCCCCTCTCCCTTTTATTTATCTCTCTTACTGTCTATCTGTTTAGTCTTCCTCTCCCTTTTGTTGTCTCTCTTACTGTCTATCTGTTTTAGTCTTCCCCTCTCCCCTTTTTATTTATCTTTCTTTTTCCTCTCTGTTTTGATCTTCCCTCTCCTTTTATTCATCTCTTTTTACCTGTCTATCTGTTTTAGTCTTCCCTCTCCCTTTTATTTATCTCTCTCTCTTACTATCTTTCTGTTTTAGTCTTCCTCTCCTTGATTTATCTCTCTTACTGTCTATCTGTTTTTGTCTTCTCTCTCCTTTTATTTGTCTCTTTCTGTCTCTGTTTAGTCTCCTCTCCTTTTATTTATCTCTCTTACTGTCTATCTGTTAGGCCTCCTTCCTTTTACTTATCTCTACTGTCTCTCTCAGTTTTAATCTTCTCTCCTTTTATTTATTCTCTTACTGTTCATCTGTTTTAGTTCTTCCTTTATTTATCTCTTAATGTCTATCTGTTTTTAGTTCTTCCTTTATTTATCTCTACTGTTCATCTGTTTTAGTCTTCCTCTCCTTTTATTTATCTCTCTTACTTGTTCATCTTTGTTTTAGTCTTCCTCCTTTTATTTATCTCTTACTGTCTCTGTTTTAGTCTTCCTCTCTCTCCTTTTATTTAATTCCTCTTAATGTCTATCTGTTTTAGCCTTCCTCCTTTTATTTATCTCTCTTACTGTCTATCTGTTTTAGTCTTCCCTCTCCTTTTATTTATCTCTCTTACTGTCTCTCTGTTTTAGTCTTCCTCTCCTTTTATTTATCTCTCTTACTGTCTCTCTGTTTTAGATCTTCCCTCTCCCTTTTATTTATCTCTTACTGTCATCTGTTTTAGTCTTCCTCTCTCTTTTTTTATTTATCTCTCTTACTGTCTATCTGTTTTAGTCTTCCTCTCCTTTTTATTTATCTCTCTTACTGTCTCTGTTTTAGTCTTCCTCTCCTTTTTATTTATCTCTCTTTTTGTCTCCTCTGTTTTATCTCTTCCTCCTCCCTTTTATTTATCTCTCTTACTGTCTATCTTTTTAGTCTTCCCTCTCCCCCTTTTATTTTTATCTGTCTCTACTTGTCTCTCTTTTTTAGTCTCTCTTACTCCCTTCTGTTTTATTTCTCTCCCTTTTATTTGTCTCTATCTGTTTTTAGTCTTTCCTCTCCTTTTATTTATCTCTCTTACTGTCTCTCTGTTTTATTCCTCCTCCCCTTTTATTTATCTCTCTTTTGTCTCTATCTGTTTTAGTCTTCCCTCTCCTTTTATTTATCTCTCTTACTGTCTATCTGTTTTAGTCCCTCCTCCCTTTTATTTATCTCTCTCTTACTGTCTATCTGTTTTAATCTTCCCCTCTTTTTTTTATTTATCTCTCTTACTGTCTATCTCTGTTTTAGTCTTCCCTCTCCTTTTATTTTATCTCTTACTGTCTCATCTGTTTTAGTCTTCCCTCTCCCTTTTATTTATCTCTTACTGTCTATCTGTTTTAGTCTTCCCTCTCCCTTTTTATTTATCTCTCTTATTGTCTATCTGTTTTAGTCTTCCTCTCCTTTTATTTATCTCTCTTACTGTCTATCTGTTTTAGTCTTCCCTCTCCCTTTTATTTTATCTCTTACTGTCTTATGTTTTAATCTTCCCTTCCCTTTTATTTATCTCTCTACTGTGTTTCTGTTTTTTTCCTCTCCCTTTTATTTATCTCTCTTACTTTCACCTATCTGTTTTATTCTTCCTCTCCCTTTTATTTATCTCTCTATCGTCTATCTGTTTTAGCTCCTCCTCTCTTTTATTTATCTCTCTTACTGTCTATCTGTTTTAGTCTTCCCTCTCCCTTTTATTTATCTCTCTCTTACTGTCTCTGTTTTAGTCTTCCTCTCCCTTTTATTTATCTCTCACTGTCTATCTGTTTTAGTCTTCTCCCTCTCCCTTTTATTTA